CGAGAGTGCCGAAAATAACTAGTATTTGATTATTTTCCAATTTACAATGCATCCTGGAGGATTTTATAGAGAAGCTTAACTACTCATCTCATTTTTGGCTCACAGCATCTTAAGAGCAGGCTCCGCCCCGCATTGAGTCAGATCTATGTCTAGTTTTTGGATTTCACCCTGTCGTTTCCTATCCCACTCCCTACTCTCACTCCACTCATATGACAGTAGAGGGCGAGTCACAGGTAGTCACGTTATCGCAGCGTGGTCCTCAAATTCTTGAATGTTCCATTCATACTCTCGTCTCTCTAAAAGTGTATTAATCGAACCAACAGCTGACAAACACTCGCCGACACACATACACGCACTTACACACGTGTGTTTATACAACACGATATGACTCGTTTTTGAATTTTGAAAATTGTAACTTATAATGCTGGCAAAAGCGAATACTGTAAGATTGGAAGTTTATTTGTAATTCTCGCAAGGCAGTTAGGGATTTCGCATTTTTGATGAAGAACCAGTGTTATCACATAGCAGACCGAAGAGTTCGACCAACGGCTGCGACCCCGGACCGTTATCGTCGATCGCTTACTCACCGCAGTTAGACGAGTAAAGAAAGGCGCGTTCATCTCTTTTGTTCGTTCGGTTTCGTCGGTTTTCTTCCCTGCGAACCACCTGATTTCCACCCTTATCTTGTCCTATATGCTCTATCTGTATCACACTCTCCCTACCGTGTACCTATCTCTGAATATTGTAATATGTTGCAATGTTATCAGTTTTTACTAGTATTTTCAGAGTTATGCGGTAGTGTCAGCAGCATGTTGCTAGCATGAGCACAATTGCTTCTTTGTTGGGAAGGTTACAAGGGATGATGCAAAATACTGGGGTGAGTTCCTCTCTTATGGAGATGAACAATTTAAAATTTTTTACTTTACCTGCGATGTCTTGGTTTACTACTGCATTCACGAGGTATGTTAGGAGTACTTTTTCAACAATCCGATTCATACACTAACTTTTCACGAAATTTTGCACTCATGTCGTATGCAGAGGATACATTATTTTTCCACTACTTGGGTTTTTGTATCGATTGATCCTTAATCTCTACCTATCCTTCTCAAATTGTATTTTAGCGGTAATATATCGAGTAACTTTTGAAAAAAAATGAAAAAGCACCGCAAAGGAATCGGCATCTGTTTCCGTTGAACTAAATGTTTGCATGAGAAATTGCAACGATACTGCGCAAGCCTCATCCTTTTCTCTTTTAAGGGTTCTGTCCTCTACGAATTAGTATTTGATTAGTAATAGTGCTAACAATGAACATGTAGGCTATCCTTCTCTTCTAACGTGGAAATTTTCTCATTATCAAGGATAATGTGAGCTTAAGTCTTCCTCTAGGGCACAAAGCTGATATCGTGACGATTTTGCGTTTGCAGTTCCTACTCATTTCCGCAATAAGTTTATGCGATCCTGTCCCAAATGATTTACGATAACTTTTATAGGTGAGGTACATTCACAGCAGCGAATCCTTCATTCCTGCGACATCATCCCTTCCGCTTAGCAACCATGTGAGTCTTCTTAGTTCTCGTTTTTTTTGCTTTTCGATTAAAGATTTTTCTTTGGTGCATAGCTTCTTTTTTGACTTCTTCTTGTTTTTATAAATTTGGAGAGGAAAGACACGGAAACATGAAGCTCCGCATTTCTTTGAATGTTGATGCTCGAAATTTTTCCAAGAATGTTTCGCACAGTAGTTACTTTCTATAGTTTAGAACTTCCATGATGTTATCTCTTTAGGCAGTTCGCTCTAATATCTTAGGGCACTTTGTATTTTGAAGCCGTCAGGGTGCCCTTTTTTCCTTTAAAGTTTGAGTATTCATTGAGTTTCACTTAATTATGCAAACTACTGAAATCTTCAACATTTTGCTTCCTGTGGCTTATAGCCCTTCAAAGACATATGTTCACATTTATCTGGATGAGTCATCCCACAGTTTAAAAAAGTGTGCACGTGTCGCAGTGATTTGATGAAAAAACCGGTGTAGTGTCCTTATGAGTCAGCTTATATTTGATGATTAATAACTAAATTCCGGTTTTACATACAATTTAGTATCACTAGTAATTTCCCACAACACTATGATCATGCATCTCAACATTTTTTCTTGGAACCATCCCGCCAATGGTTCAGCTGTAAGTAATATTTATATGGTTTCATGAATCCATTTTAAATTATGTGTTTTTTGCGACCTAGGGCAGTTTAGTCTGCTGCACAGAAATATTGCTTGCTAGCATCTGGCTCTGAGTTATGGCTGCAGATGTTCATGCGACATTAATACGTCTTTTGACAGCGTGAAAACAGAACATTCTTTCTATTGTCATCAACTATTTAAAAATTTTTATAGTGGTTTGCAATACCATTTGAATACATTTGGTATTACGTCTTTTTTGTTGACTTTAGTAACATCATTTTAGGATCGCCGAACTCTATGTAAAACGTTCAAACTCATGGATGATGTTGTGAAAGCATGCCAAAATCATCGATTGAATCTGAAAAATTCTCCACCATTTATATTAGATATATTACCTGATACTTATACACAGGTAGTTAAATTGTTTCAATGTGAACTCTTAGACCTCATATTAAGCGGGTTTTTTTTCTTGAAATCACCTATTCCAGCTTGTCTATATTTTCACTCAAAATCACGTTATTCTTCGGGACAATTATTACATACAGATTTTTTTGGAAAATATGCAACAAAAATGTAAACAGGTCAGTTTTATTTAGACCCCTTAATTTTCAATGCCGTTTTGTATGCTAATTTCAAATAATTTTATCAATTTCCTTCAGGTACTTAAATTATTCAAAACGAATGCTATATTCGAAGAACAATCACAGGAGAGACGCACATTGACAAAGCTCTCTCTTATTTTTTCTCATATGCTATTCGAGTTGAAAGCCGAGTTTCCCGATGGAACATTCATAGGTCTGAATTATTTTGTCTTTTGCAAATGCAGACGTATTTCGTTATAAACGTTGCTGCGAAAGTGACAGTAATCAGAATTGTTAAGAGCCAGTGCTAAAGTAGGATTTGCATTTTATGTTATAATCTTACAACCATGCGTTTCAGGCGACAAATTTCGAATAACAAAGCGTGAGGCCGAGGATTTCTGGAATACTAATTTTCACAATAAGTATGTGACTTCTCTTCTTCAGTGCTATTTTAATGAAAATCTGTTTTTAAAGAACTTGTGTACCATGGAGCGAATTTGTTGTTGCTATAGAAAAGTCTCAGCCAAATTCTAAATTGAAACTATCTGCTCTAAAAAATACTGTCGACCTTACTGGAAATGACCATGTTTCAAACTTTGAGTTTGACGTTTTCACAAGGTTTGTCTCAGCATGTGTTGTTTTCTTCTGCAGTTATAAATACAATTTACTTGTTTAGGCTGTTTTATCCGTGGAAAACTCTTCTACGGAATTGGCAATTGCTAACAACTGCTCATCCCGGATATGTTGCTTTTCTTACGTATGATGAGGTGAAGAAAAAGTTGGAAAAACTTGTAGATAAGCCTGGAAGGTGCTTTTTTGCTTTTTCCTATTACTAGAATTGATTTTATCCTTCTTATACCCAGCAGTGCTTTAGTTATGTCTTTCGCCTCTCATGTACTCGCCCTGGTCAGTGGGCAATAGGCTATGTAGCTCCAGATGGCAAAATATTCCAAACAATTCCACAAAACAAATCATTGATTCAAGCTCTTCACGAAGGTGGCAAAGAGGGATTGTAAGTCATGATTTCTTGCTACATTTTAGAAGAAGATCTTTTTCGCGTTTCAGTTATTTATATCCTAACGGCAACCCGAAGGACATAGATTTGAGTACAGTGATAGAAGTACCTCCTGCAGACAGAGTCAAGGTGAGACTCTTGAAATTTTATTCAAATGAGTTTTCACAAATGTCTACCATTTTCAGGTAACCAGTGAACAGTACGATTTGTATTGTGAAATGGGTACAACATTTGAATTGTGTAAGATATGTGATGACAATGACAAGAATGTAAAAATCGAACCATGTGGGCACCTGTTATGCACTCCATGCTTGACTAGCTGGCAGGTTGGTAGAGGACCTTTTTCCAATATTTATCGGAATATTTTACATATCGTCTTGAATTTTTTTCGAAATCAGTCAACCTTGTAGCTAAAGAATTCTGTAACTTTGTTTTTGCACAGAAGCTCTGCAAATTGACAGCTCCTTTGAACTCGGCTGCAGGAGCAGCATAAACTGGTTTTATCTATCGCATGTAAAAAGAAATGTGTATTATCAATAGCACTTGTTAGTCACATCATTTTGATTAACTGATCACTCGTTAAATGTGATAAGGGGACTTATTGTGATACGTATCAATGTTCCCTGACTGGTTGTGCATTTGTACATTTACATCATTTGGTTTATCTTATCCATGAGATTACTTTCTTATGGAAATCTTTTCATGCACTTGAATCGCGAGAAACTTTGTATTAAAAAATTTATTGTAAAACCAGCCATTCCATTAAAATACTGTCTGCCACTTCGAGATTTTGCCTGCAATATAAATATGTTATGCATATTAACTCATGCAATACATATTAATACTTGCATATTAATGAAAAATTCTATTCTTTTCGACAATCTCCTAAGTTTTTTTTCCCTGTGAAAGGGCAACGTATGTCGCAATATCTTTTTACTTAGATGTGGTTACGGCTAAATAGCCCAATCAATACGTCATTTTCAAGTTAGAATGCTAATGAAATTCATGGTCTATGTCCTAAGTTCTATTTTCATTTTAACCTATACCTTCAGGAATCGGAAGGTGGAAATACGTGCCCGTTCTGTCGGTACGAAATAAAAGGCACAAATAAGGTTATTATCGATCGTTATAAGCCTAATCGACGAGAGAGACAGAAAGATTCGTTTAAAGCTCGGAAGCCTACTAATGTGGGTTTGTGCCTCATTTTAGTAACTTCTTGTTTTTTTAATTCTCAGAATCGTACTTAAAAGTGTCTCTTAGCTTCCGTTTACTTGTTATTTTTTGTAATCTTTATTTGTGAATGATCAGCACTTTAATTAGCTCTGTTTCCGTAAGTATTTTGTCAGATTCCGTGTTTTTTTTGACAAAAACAACTTTGCAACTTGTTCACCTCTTTCTCAACAAAATGCTACATACCGAATGTTCAGATATCTTGTGATACGAATACACCGGCAGCTTCTTCGCCTTTGATGGGTTTGCCGATTGGACCGCCACCTCCTCTCCCACCTAGGCCATCTGCCACACGTACCCCGGAACGGTATTCGGTTAGTAAATCTTTTTTATCCCATTTAAAGAGGTTTGCGAATGTTTTTCGTGCGTTCTCCAACCATATGAATTTGAATAATGAAGGCTATTGGTTTATCCATTAGATATAGCATGAGTTAGGAATTAAAGAAAGTGATAATATTATTTGAGGTGAGGCAAAGTTGTAGTGTATCTTGATTTCTGCTCAACGCAGCATTGGCAATCAGTGTTTTCTTATTGTCCTTGTTACCGTAACCAACATTTGAGACATTAGCGTTGATTAGATCATTTGTCTTCAACCCTTCATACAATAGTTCATTTCGGTCTTGCACTTTATCATCACTCTATTTGCGATGATCATTATGACGTTTGTCTCTCCGAATCATGCGTTTTTAATCGTGTGTTTGATGTCGACGTGTTTTTATATGGCTTTTGTGTCAAAGACCAAATGCGAGTATTCATAGTAGTTCCGAGGTGCCGATGTTCGAATATTTTTCGAAGCAATTTGAGCTAGCGTATCACTTCGTTCGGTCATCTTTCTTCAAGTTTCTCTTATCAAGTGCAACGCTTGGTATTCGTAAAACGGTTGACTATATGAATGATTGGAGACTCAATGTAAAGATGTTTTCTGTAACTGTTTGAGTACTTTATGTAACTCTTTTTCACAGCAATTCTCAGTGGATTAAAATTGCTTTGGCCCAAATAATGCAAACATATTACTTGCAGAGATCTCGGGATCCAAGCTACGTGAACGTCCCTGCACTGGCAACACCGCAGTCGGATGCGGCTATACCAGCTGATTATGTAAACTCGTCCGCAATTCGTGACTTTATCTAAGAAGTCGGGTTTTTTGTGTCTTGTATTTCTATTCAAATATTTATTAAAGTTCGTTCATTTTGTCATTCTTTTCATCTCTGAAGTAGAGAATCCCCCAATATCGGCAAGCTTTACCGAATTATTTTCTTTCCCCTCATCTTTTAGTTGATGATTATTCTCGTCCTAGAATTGTTAGATTGTTCCGAATTTACAGATCGTCTAACTGTGAGAGATGCTCTTTCCCATTCTATTGATCACACCCGTTGCTCACATATCACGATACGTTGCATAGGAATTGAATTTGGATGTTGAACCGGCGAGTATGAATTGCAGTATCTTATTTTCTCTCTGGTTACGACTTCCACTCGCATTACGGGTCTTGCAAGGTATTCCAAGTGGCATAACTAGCTGCGCGATGTGGACTTAATGTTATTAGTATTCTGAAGCATATTTCTAATAAATTATTCTTTTCTATTCGTATCTATTGTGAAGCAATGTAAAATTATTATATAAGGTAGAAGAACATTCCCTGACGCTCTCATCCGGAGCGATTTTCGAAAGGAGCACATGTATCATTGGAGACTAACGAGTTCAGTCAATTAGTGCTCTAGCAATATCAAGCCACTCGCGAGTCAAAGGCGTCTAGAAACTTTCATTTGCTGATC